GTCTGTGTGTGTGTGTGTGTGTGTGTGTGTGTGTGTGTGTGTGTGTGTGTGTGTGTGTGTGTGTGTAAAATTCAGAACAGGAAGAGGAATTTTCTGAATTGCAATTCAAAGAAATTCAATAGGTTACATTTCATTAGTTTAACACAACTACAAAATAGGCAAGATATTATAAGCTGCTTCATGTTTAGCTACAATCTAAAGCCATTATATATTATTATAAATTATAGGAATGAACATGAAATTAAATTAAATGAAATATCTATATTGTATATGTTTTATGTCATTTTTGGGCTGTGGTGGAAGAACACTTACTTTCACAGACACTCAGAAAAGACCAATCAGAAGGCATCGTTCACACGCACCACCGACACGGCATTCAAAACAGCACTGGTGCCTTTAATGAACTGCCAAAAAAGCTTCAGGAAAGATCCGAGCAGTTTGCCGCCTTGCATCAGAATGCAATAAGAGCGATGACAGGTTTAACAAGCCATTTTACACTGTCACAAATCTAAATATCAAGAGTGATGAAATTCAAACTTCTCGTCATCAAAGTAGAAAAGTGCAAATGCTACGACTGAACTAGATCAGCCTCTCTGACACACAGCGAACGCCCAATGTCAACGGCCTATTTCTATTTTTATAATGTAGCCAACTATTCCAGCTTTATTTTAACCACTCATTGAAAATAAAATCATTTCATTAACAAATATTATGAACTGATTGATATGAACTTTAGGGTTTCTTTTATATTTGCAAGTAAGCTTAATTTAGCAACCACATAGCAACGCCCTAGCAACCACCATTCAGAACACCTAAGCAACCACTTAGCAACACCCTAGCAACCATTCAGAACCTCTAAGCAACCATTTAGCAACAACCTAGCAACTACCACAACATCCTATTATCCTAGCAACTAGGGCTGCACGATTAATCAAATGCGATTGTCACTTCCTGTTTCAGTTAAAACGACGTCAACACAGAGTAACGCTGCGTGTTTCTAAGCATTTCAGGGGACCTTTAAGCAAACCTTGCCAACAACCTAACAACTAACCACAATATTCTAGTATATTAGAAACACCCTAGCAACCATTCAGAACATCTAAGCAACAGCCTAGCAACTACCACAATATCCTAGTATCCTAACAACACCCTAGCAACCATTCAAAACACCCAAGCAACAGCATAGCAACTACCCACAACATCCCTGTATCCAAGCAACACCCTAGCAACCTTTCAGAACATCTAAGCAAGAACCTAGCAAATACCCACTATATCCTTGTATTCTAGCAAGCATTAAGAACACATAAGCAATGGCATAGCAACTACCCAAAACATCCTAGTATCCTAGCAACATCTAAGCAACCATTCAGAACACCCAAGCAACAGTCTAGCAACTACCCACAACATCCTTGTATCCTAGCAACCACCAAGAACACATAAACAATGGCATTGCAACTACCCACAACATCCTAGCAATGCCCTAGCAACCATTCCGAACACCTAAGCGCAACAGCCTAGCTACTACCCACAACATCCCTGATCTTAGCAACGCCCTAGCACCCATTCAGAACACCTAAGCAACAGCCTAGTAACTACCCACATCATCCATGTATCCTAGCAACGCCCTGGCAACCATTCAGAACACCTAAGCAACGGCCTAGTCACTACCTACAACATCCTAGTAACCTAGCAACCATTCAGATATTCTAATCAACCACTTAGCAACATCCTAGCAACTAAAGACAACATCCTGGCATCATGACGGTAACTTTTGCAAAGGCTCTAGTTATAATCGAATTCAATCTAATGTAGTTTATCTTTACATTGCAATTCTCAGTTTGCCCTCAGAGCTGTCCATCAGTGAGTGAACGCTCTCTCTAATATCACAGGATGATTCTTAATATCACAAAATGTTTCTCTCCAGCTCATTCATTAAGTCCTGAACATGCTCTGAAAGATCTAGTCCAGTCAACACAAAGCCACAACGGAGGCCTTTCATCCACTCACGAGTGTTTGATCTGGACCAAAACTGTCTCAATTCCCAGGACTGGACGTTGGTTAAAAGAAACAATTGATTCCGGCGCAGCTCCGGGGATCAATAGAGGGCTTTTACACAAGTGCTTCAGACAGCATGAGATTCACAGCTAATTCAGAGCTGCTGATCCACAGAGAAACAACCCAACCGTGTTTGCTCACCGAGTTCAGGTCCAGGTTGTTTTGGACCCATTCCTTGGCTTCCTCATACTCCTCCATCAGACCCATGATGTACAGCGTGTCCAGAGAATCCACGATTGAAGCGCCTCTGAGTCCGCCTGCAAACACAACACACAATACAGGAGTTCTCAACTGGTTCTCAATGTAAAACAGCAGATTTTACATTGGATGTCCCATCAAAGCACTAGAGTTGTTTATCAGTCAAAAGTAATCAAGAATATCCTTACAATTAGAAAATGTCTTATGAAATGCAACATGCTAAATTATTAAAGTGCCCCTATTATGGATTTTTTTAAAATTACCTTTCATGCAGTGTCTAACACAGTTCTAAGTGAATGAAAACATCCTGCAAAGTCTAAAATCTGAAAGTGCACCGTGTATAAAGTTATTGTCTCTCAAAAGAAAGAGTCGACTCTGAATCATTGAAACGATTAGTTTTTAAAACGAATCCCAAGCCGTTTCATGTTGACGTCAACATGAAACATTAGCATTTTGCCCGCCCACTTGTTGGTCTTTTCGCGTTGGTCTGAATGAAAATGCAAATTCATTCTTTGCCACTAGGTGCTGCTTTTGGAGCGGTAAAATAGCGGTTTCCCCGGTAACGGCTGTACACAAAGCAGCACTGCGCTCACAAACGCTGCTTTATCAGGCATTACAGGCATGATGACTTTAAAATGAGACCAATCGGGCCAATCACAGCAGATTAGCGTCACACAAAGGTGGAGTTTAGAAAAATTAATCGTTGAGCGAATCATTTGGAAGTCCTTGAGCAAGTAAGGTAAAAATAAATACATATTATACAAAATAAAATAAAATAAAATACATACATACTCCCGGGGACTCCCAAAACCAAAATATGAACCTTTCATAACCCATAATAGGGGCACTTTAACATGAAAAACATGACCAGAAGTTGACAGACCTGTATAAACAACACTGAATTAAAAACAAAAAAGGTAATTACGACTCATCTCACAATTCGGACTTTTTTTCTCAAAATTGCATGATAGAAACTCGCAATTGTGAGTTACAAAGTCAGAATTGCATGATATAAACCTGCAATTCTGAGAAATAAAGGTCAGAATTGTGAAATACAAACTTGCAATTGCGAGAAAAAGTCAGAATTGTTAATGGTTTAGAATAGTTTTACGGAATAGTTTATATCTCACAGTTTTGAGAAAAAACTCTAAATTGCGAGTTCATATCATGCAAAAAGTCTGAATTGTGAGAAGTCGCAAGTACCCTTTTTATTTTTGATTAAGTGGAGGAAACGTGGTTCCATATGAACACATGCCGCAGACATTAGATTTTGTATTAGTATTAGCCATATTGTTAATGTTGTTTGGGATTAGAGATTAAATTATATATATATTTATCACTTCTGTGAGATACTGTATATATATATATATATATATATATATATATATATATATATAGCTTTAAGAATTTTGAGATTCATTAGCTAAATTTGAAATTACATTAAGTAATTTCTAGTAAGAAATCACTAGTAAGGTTAGTTCACTAGTATTCTATTCCAAATTGAACCAGTAAATATCTAAGATCATCTCTATGAAAATAAGCCACAAATCTCATTAACAGTCCACTGACATCAGATGATCAATAAGCTGATAAATATATAATTTGTTTAAAAAGAAAATAAATTAACACCAGAAAAGAAAAATAAAGAAAAGAAAACACACACTAAAACACTAAAAACTAAATGAGTCAATTTTAGACATTATAACACAAAGCAGGGATTCCAAAACTTTTTGTCAGCCGTAACCCTTCAACTTAAAATATTTATACTATAAAATAAGCTCCTCTTAGATTTAACATTAATATTTCAATAATTAATATGGGTTAACGGTCAGTAAATCAATAAAATATTTCAGTTTTTATATTGTTTTATTTAGCTTTTCCTGCTAAAATTGTTTATTTATCCATTTTTATGACTTAAGGGTGTACTTTTTTCAAGAAATGAGCTAAATTAATTTTTATGCACACAAATGCACAATACTCGTTACAATGAATGCATGCACACAGCAACAAAATCAACATGTGCTCTTAAAAAGACAGCACTCTTCAACATACAGTGCTTTTAAGGGGTTAAATCACTGCCTAATGTACCACTATCCCTTTAAAGTAAGTGCTAGATGATCTAAATATTAAAATAGGCCAAATAAAACATAACTAATATGGTTCTGACATATCATGCACTTTTTTTCAACTTTGCATTCAAGTTCCACATTGTTTCAGTTCGTGCAATCGAGCTACAAGAACGCTGCATTGCAACTTTACATCTCTATTTATTCAGGTTGAGATGTTGCACAATGTTAAACTGACCCTTCATTGTGGCAGAAACTGCAGAAACTAAACAAAAGCAGCAAATAAGAGCTGACGTGACCGTGCACGACTCTTGAACAGCAAAACATCCCGTCCCTTATTCCCTCGTCTCACACGACGAGCCCCACGACTCCTGAGCTTTAACTGCATTTCATTTGAAGTTATTAAATTCACTTCATATCCCTAATGAAAAATATTCAGAGGCTTTCATTTAATTCACTCGACCTTAAATGAGATTGCTCGGGCTTCACCCCCTTTAATGTAGAAAATGTGCACAAAAACAAGCTCTTTATTGCTTCAGGAAAGTGCAGGGAGGTAGTCGGCCCCTCGGAGCACACAAAACGCATATTACATGTACAGTAGATACACGATGCTGACAAACGCTGAAATATTTCATTCGTCCAATGGGAACAAATGAGGCAATAAAAACGATGCGTTTCAACCTCAAAATGTACGCAGCATATCGACTCCCAAAATCCCTGCCGCTGCACATTTAATGAGCATTTCAATTAGGAGCTTAAGAACTGTGAAAAAGAAATGAAAAACCCACACCCACAGGCCACAGCCTTTCCCATGACCTCCCTAGAAATACTGCGAGAGGGTTTGAAGAAACGGGTGCGAATGAGACGTAGCGTAAAGCGAGCCCTGGGCATCGCGTGCCAGTGTGATAATGTGATGCAACTGTGAGCAATGCTGCATATTACACGCTGATATCAAGCGATGCTGCACAAAGACACCGGCACAAACCAGTGTGTGCACAAAACCAGGTCTAAAAGTGTGGGAATAACTGCAAATAACAAATAACTGATGAAAATACTCTGAAATCCTTGGGGCTCCTGCAGGTAAATACAGCATTTCAGATGTTACGTCAGTTTGGATGCATATGAAAAACATCTCTGCCGGCACAAATAACGAAGGAAGCATGGTGTGATAAGCACATAAACCTCGTATCACGATCTTCTACTGCAGAGAGCATCAATATGGGTTTGTGTGACCCACGGTGTGAAAACAGCCATAAAATCATAGAACTGCTTGCATTGTTTTATATTAATGCATTTGAGGTCCTGAGGTTGATGTGTGATGTCAGAAGTTCTTTTTTAGTTAGACAGCTTGAACATCTTTGAGATTATCATTCTTTCCATTCCATTCAAAGCATATGTTGTGTTTTACGTCTTTATAAAGTCACACACCAACTGGTGACTCAATCCAAAGCCAATTTTACTTGCAGTTGGCAAGTGTTCATTCTGGACCCTGTTCACAACTGTGTGTGTACATGTTTATTAAGTGTAAAATATTCAGTGTAAACAAGCAGAATTACGTGCAAAAACTATTTTATAAATCTGTTCTATAGATTAACAGATTCATTTTACAAATTAAAAGTGAAAATGCATTGAAAATCAGGTACAAAAATGTGGAAAAATTGATTAAATACATTTTTAAAAATGTACATTTTGAATGTAAACAAGCAGAATTATGTGCAAAATCTATTTTATAAATTTGTTCTATAAATTAACAGATTAATTTAAAACAATAAAAGTGCAAAGGCACTAAAAATCAGGCAATGCAATGTGGAAAAAATTACAAAATGCATTTAAAACAAGTAAATATTCAATGTAAACAAGCAGAATTATGTGCAAAATCTTTTTTTATAAATCTGTTGATAAATTAACAGATTAATTTAAGAGAATAAATGTACAAAGGCACTAAAAATCAGGTACAGCAATGTGGGAAAAAAAAGACAAAATACATTTAAAAATGTATATATCCAATGTAAACAAGCAGAATTAGTACAAAATCTAATTTTTTATCTTTTATAAATAAACATACTAATTTAATAAATAATAGTGCAGAGGCATTAAAAATAAGTTTAACAAGTTTTCCACAATGTGGAAAAAATGACAATAAAATGCATTTTAAAAATGTACATAGGCCTATACATAGAAACATGCAGAAACAATGTATAATAATGTAAAAATTAAAATAAAATATATGCATATTTAGGTTCACTAAGGCGGCATTTATTTGATCAAAAATACAGTAAAAATAGTGACATATTATTACAATTTAAAATAACTATTTTCTATGTGTATATCTGTTAAACTTTAATTTATTTCTGTGATGCTCAGCTGAATTTTCAGCATCATTACTCCAGTCTTCAGTGTCACATGATCTTCAGAAATCATTCTAATATGCTGATTTGCTGCTCAAAAAACATTTCTGATTATTATCAATGTTGAAAACAGTTGTGTTGCCCGATATTTTTGTGGAAACCCTGATACATTTGATTTTTTTTTTTTCAGGATTCTTTGGTGAGTAGAAAGTTGAAAAGAACAGCATTTATTTGAAATGGACTCTTTTGTAACATTATAAGTGTCTATACTGTCACTTTTGATCAATTTAATGCATCATTGATGAATAAAACTATAAATTTCTTAAAAACATTACTGACCCCCAACTTTTTCTTATATTTATTCTAATAATTTTCAGTAACATTTTTGCTGATATTTATATTCTTATATATTTATTATAAAATTAGTAACAATTTATGTTGTTTTGTGTAATGTTATGTAAAAAGAAGATTTCCATCTGCGTCTGTGTGGTAAAACTACAGCTTTAAAGTTTTATTTGTTGAGTGATATGGGACTGCCACAATGTGCCACTAACTTTAGGTGTAAATTAAATAAATCAGAAGTTGTGATCATGTTTTAAGCAACCCAGGCTCATGAAAATATGTGCCTCTAATACATTTCTGCAACATTGTTTTTACGTACCAGTCTGCATGATTCGCAGGTTCAATATGTGACCCTGGTATGTTTTTATTACGTTGGTACAGGCACGTATTGCTGTGTTTTTATCACGCTGCTTGAGGTACATATTGTGGCTGTTCAGAATTCACATAGATGACAGAATTCACAACTCACATGAGGCTGTATATGTGAACAACATAAGTGTCAACGTTCAAAAGTATCAGTTTTCAAGTCACATAGGATGCTAAAATTCGGGAGCGCTGAGCTCTCGTGCCGCCGTTGGTAAAAAAAATTAGCCAATCAGCATCGAGTATTCACTTTCAGCGCTGAGGAGAGAAACCTCGTAAGAGAGGCTAGCGCTACATGACACACTGCATGAAAGGTAATATTCGAAAAGGCATAATGGGGCACTTTAACATCTATCCCCCCCATTAAAGATGAATCATAACTTAAGCCATTTACAAACAAACAGACAAACAAACAAACAAATAAATAACGTAGATTGGTCTAATTTGAGTCTGAAAAGTAAGGCTTGTTACCCCTTGGCTAACTGCTAGTTGGTCAGACTAGTTAAGATGGTGTTAACAAAGGCTTATGCAGACCGGTTTCATGACAGCATTCAACTCAACCACTTTTATGACCTGACTATTCAACTCATCCATTTCTGTAACAACCGAGCCTAAATAAAAGCCATTCATTATCAAAAGCACATCAAATACACAAAAGATCTCCCGAGCCGTTCCATACATCTACTAAACGGATTACAGTCGCTCACATATGCCATCAACACAGAGCTGAAGAACGGGGAACGCTCTTGATTTAGCGTCGCTCTGCTCCGTGAGCAGTATTTGTGATTTGATGACAAATTGCGTTCGAGGGCGGAGGAGAAAGAAAATGATCTTTAATGCAGCGCGCTGCAGGTCCCGGAGGCTCAAGCGTGGCAAATTCCTATTGAAAACACAGGCAAAGCAGCGCTGATTGATAGACTCGGATGAGAACAGCAGCAGATCAATCCATCACAGCCGCACACGACGAGACCCCAAACCCACACTGAAACACCAGCACACAGCTACTCTCTAGACAAGAGAAACAGTGTCGTTCAAGAACTACTGACCTCAAAGATGCATCTGACTAAATAAATTGTCATTTTTCATGTTGAATTCAATTTTGTGTGAAAATCTCACTTTTTAGATAAATTAATTCGAGACGTAAACAGAAGGGCTGTTATTCTGACGCAAGCACACTGCAATGGTATTTCCTACTATAGTTTTTGTTAATATTTTGAGTTAGATTTCATTTTTAGATGGTGTCTTTATTTTAATTTTAGCTGAAGTTTTAGCAATTTTGTCCTTTTTATTAATTTGTTTTATTTTTATTTTAAATACGCTTACATAGTTTTTCTTAAGTTTTAGATTTAGTTTTAGTTATTTTAGTTCTTCCACTTAAACTGAACCAGTGGTTCTCAACCTTTTTTCCACTGGGCCGCACTATGGTCCAAGTGCAAGTCTCACGGACCGCATATCATTTACATATTAAGTCACCAATACAAACCAACCAGATTTATAATATTACAGCCTAAATATTATGATATCTAAACGATTACATTTATTGAAATAAATAATTCTACTCACCATTAATAAAACACCTGATGCTGTCGGGAGCTGACCAATTTGGTGAAATTCGGCTCGAAAGGAGTAACAGCACAATGAAGTTGCGATTTTCAGTCTGTAAGACTCGCACGGAAGCGCGACTAGACGCGCGACATTGCAGACAATGTGCGTTCACAAATGTAGCCTATGTTGATCCAAATATGGAAAGCACTTTCGAATTTAATAATCTGAGGTTCTCTCCAGAGATATTTTGCCACATTTCTGCAATTAAGGATGATTGCTGCATAGTATGGGTGTTTCCTTTTGCCTGAACATCTTCAGGTGAGTGGCGGGGCAAACCGAAAGTCCAGCACTCTCCTTCACTGCTGATACTGCGACTATTCTTGTTTGTATGCGTTCCTTCGCTGGCATTTTCCACTTTTCGTTTATCTCCCTTAATAACAAATTTGTCCATTCTGATGCTCAATTTTACCGAACTAATGGCTGCTGATGACTATTTGAATTGAATTCTGCCAAAGGTCTGCTCATGTCTGAAAATAATATATGAAAAACAAAATTATTTTACATAACAAAAACATTATAGCTTATATTTGTTTAGTACATTTTTAAATTACGGGGCAAACCGAAAGTCCAGCACTCTCCTACCTTCACTGCTGATACTGCGACTATTCTTGTTTGTATGCGTTCCTTCGCTGGCATTTTCCACTTTTCGTTTATCTCCCTTAATAACAAATTTGTCCATTCTGATGCTCAATTTTACCGATCTAATGGCTGCTGATGACTATTTGAATTGAATTCTGCCAAAGTGCGTGTTTGTAAGTGTTCGTTAAATGCATAACGTCTAGTACATAGGTCTGCTCTGAAAATAATATATGAAAACTAAATTAATTTACATAACAAAAACATTATAGTTTATATTTGTTTAGTACACTTTGAAATGAACGTAAAAACTAAAATGAATTGTAAAACTGGAAGTTATTTTTTAATTGTGCTCAGCATGGTGGGCCGCATTTGGATTTGTGACGGGCCACGTGTTGAGAACCACTGAACTTATATATGCTGATATAAAATTGTTGATATATAAAATAATAATATAATTATTGTCATTTTTATTAGTTATTAGTTTATTAGTCTATATACTTTTTATTCATTTTTATTTCTGTTTTATTTATTTTAGTACATCAAGTTAGGTTTTTAAGTTTTATTTTTTTATATTTTATTTTGTTTTATTTCAGTTAGGTTTATTTCAAGTAATGACAATTTTTTATGGTTTTAGTTTTAGTTTTTTTTGTTTTTTAAACTATTATTATTTATTAATATATTTTAATTAATAAAAATAATATTTAATTTAGTTTATAAAATGTGATAAAATTCAATTTATAATATTAATTTAAAAGTCATGTTTTATTAATTTTAATATTTTTATTTCAGTTTTAGTTTTAGTAATTTTAGTACTTCAACGCAGTACTTTAATTTCAATTGTTTATTATTTTTAAGTTTTAAGTATTTTCTATAGTAGTTTCTATTTCTCTAGTATCTATCATTTTCTTATAGTTTTTCTTCAATATTTTCTTTAATTTCAGCTTTATTTAAAAAAAACAAAAACAGTAACAAACAGCACTGAATGCTAAAAAATACTAAAGGCTAAGGGTGTATTCACCTGTCTTGTTTGGTTCGATTGAATCAAACTCAAGTTTGTCCGGTTCCAAACGAATTCTGGGATGGTTAAATGGATGAACCAATGAATGGATGACCTTTTTTTTTTATTTTTATTTTTTTTTATACAATTTCTGGTTCACTTGTAATAAAAAAAAAAAATCAACATTGTATTTGGTCCGGACCAAAGAAAGTGAACTAGTGGACTTTCCTGGTGTGAATACACCCTATAGTGAAAGAGTGGATATATGGCCTTTTTTAATTAGATTGAATACATTTACGAACACGAACAGTAAAGCATCTTAAGCACATTTATTCACACCATGCTCTACATTTTGGGCCAAATTCACGAAACAGTTGCACCACTTGCATGCATTATTTCAATATAAAAATGTGTGCTTAAAGGGTTAGTTCACCCAAAAATGAAAATTAGCTTGCGTTTTACTTACCCTCGAAGCATCCTAGGTGTATATGACTTTCTTCTTTCAGACGAATCCAGTCAGAGTTATATTAAAGGGGTCATATGATGCGATTTCAATTTTTCCTTTCTCTTTGGAGTGTTACAAGCTCTTGGTGCATAAAGAAGATCTGTAAAGTTGCAAACACTAAAGTCTCAAAACCAAAGAGATATTCTTTATAAAAGTTAAGAGTTAGCCACACCTACCTAAAACGGCTCGTTCTAACACACCCCCACATACCTACGTCACGATCTCGGAAGATTTGCATAACGCCGCCCAAACGTTCACGCAAAGAAAGAAGGCGT